AAAAAAAAAAAAAAAAGAAAGAAATCCCATTTACAGTAGTTAAAAAGAAGTTAAATACCTAGGAATACATTTAACCATGGAAGTGAAATATCTCTACACTGAAAACTATAAAACATCGATGAAAGGAACTGAAGATACAAATAAATGGAAAGACATGTCATGTTCATGTATTGAAAGATTTAATATTGTTTAATATTGTTTAAATATCCATACCACCCAATGCAATCTACAGGTTCAGTGCCATCCTCATCATAATTCCAATGATATTGTTTCTCAGAAATTAAAAAAAGGATTATAAAATTCGTATAGCATTTTGGAGGCCAAGATCACTTGAGGTCAGGAGTTCGAGGAGTTTGTATATTTAGTAGAGACAGGGTTTCACCATATTGGCCGGGCAGGCCTCAAACTCCTGATCTTGTGATCCACCCGCCTCGGCTTCCCAAAGTGCTGGGATTACAGGCAAGAGCCACTGTGCCCGGCTGGCGTTAGGTCTTTTGAAAGTAAAAAGAACTCAATACTCTTTAAATGTTTTTGTTCTAGACACTGATATAAAATATCCAAAATCCACAACTGCTCTTTGAGGTAACCATGATCCCCATTTTATAGTTGAAGATACTAAAAAATGCTATAAAGATGAAGGTACTGCCTGGGTGCAGTGGCTCATGCCTGTAATCCCAGCACTTCAGGAAGCTGAGGCAGGACGATTGCTTGAGCCCAGGAGTTCAGGAACAACCTGGGGCAACATGGCCAGACCCAGTCTCTACAAAAAAATTAGCCAGGCTTGGTGGTACTTGCCTGTGGTACCTGCTACTAGGGAGGCTGAAGTGGGAGGATCACCTGAGCCCAAGAAGGTTGAGGCTGCAGTGAGCCGTGATCATGCCACTGCTTTCCAGACTGGGCCACAGAGTGAGATCCTGTCTCAAAAAGAAAAGAAAAGAAAAATAACAGAAAAGAAAAGAAAAAGACAGTAACACCCACCTCATTCATTCATTCTAAATAAAGACATAAATACGAAACTATATGGCAGAGAATTCCTGCCAAGATCCTCAAAATCAACTCTAATCAAACAGAGGAAGGACAAGAGAGAGACAAATGTTCCCAGGAGTAGGTCT